CACATTCCAATTAGCAGAGATCGCGAAGGGGGTGTCAATGGTCCTCATAACATCTGCGACCTGTAGGAGGAGTTGGGCGTTCCGATCCTCAGCGCATTCACTTGTATGCACCTAGATGTTGGTCCATGGGGTCCCAGCATCACCTGCCCCATGCCAGAGCTTTATACTATTGCGTTCAGGAGGGGGCATAACAACCGAGGCGTTGAAGATCATGTCCAGAAGCGATCTAGCGTAGTGTGATACTAAACCAACACCTGAGCTCAGCCCACCTTTAGCCTTGAAGGCAGGGGGGTGCAGGTGGGCGTGGTAACCATGCTTGTAGGCTCGGTCGACTGCAAACTCAACTGATTCAGCAGAGTGACGAAGCTCCTGAAGGCCAGCTGCATCAAAGATGCCCCCGAAAGCTCCCAGGACTGCTTCTGCATTTGACCGGGAGTTTTATGTTGACCGCTACTAGGACCCATTCGTGGCGAGGCTTCTTGGCGAAGTCTGACTCACCAGGAGGGGTCTCGTCATCGCTAGAGCTGCTGTCGTAGAGCGGAGGGTGACGTTGGCGTGCCGTCGGAGGTGCAGACTTGCCACGCCCATTCTCCTGAACAACACTAGCATGCGTCGTCAGATCCATGGGGCCACGCCAGCGGGGTTCGCGACGTCGGCGGTTTCGGCGCCAGCCGTGTCTGTTCCATCCAACTGATCGGCTGCAGCAGAGACATCAGGGGGTGGCATGGCAGGGCGTTTCGGCGGCGGCGGCAGAGAGGAAGTGCGTCCAGGGCCAACTCCCGTCTTAGACTGCCCACCTGTGGAATCAACGGCCATGGGCTGAGTGCGAACGGGTGCAACTGATTTGGGCCCCGGGGAGCCTGGAAGCGCAGAGCCCGAAGAGCTGCCAGCCAACGCAAAACCCTGGAGGTGGTGCAACACCTGAGACAACTTCTTATCCTTCTGGGTGGCATTGGAGGTGACGCAAATCTCGATGAGTGCAACGGTATCAGGGCTGTCATCAGAGTCCTGAGGGTCTGGCACAGATGTCGGATGGCTCTGAAGTTTGCCCTCCCAAGAAGCCATGCGCCATGCTGTCTGCTGCTGCCTAGTGACCAGGGAGACACGATCAGCCTGCAGGGACATGGTGGACCCATCAATCCCACGGATCTGATCAGTGAGCTTGTCATATTTCTTACTTGCCCAGTGTTGACGCTGCTTATATAACGCGCGCTTCTGGGGAATGGTGAACACCTCTGCCTTCTGAGCCTGGTGTGACTGCAACCCAGCCTGAAGAACTGCAATGCGTTACAAGCTGCTGTGCCTTGTCTGTGGGAGGGCCTTACACGCATCAAGCTGACTCTGCAGAGTTTGTATGATCTGCTCAATGTCCGCAACCGTAAGCTCAGCGCCGTTAGCATTAACGCTGGGGCTGCGGTCATCACCGTAGTCGTCGTCGATCTCGTCACGATAATCAGCCCAGGAACTTCCAGGAACCACGACCGCCGCCATCAACGCCGAGACCATCATCACCATAATCCTCCCCAAAACGATCCTGGACCTCCTCACCCAACGGGGCTTCAAGACGCTCATCGAGAGATCGCAGGGGCGGAGTGCGAGGGGAAGGGAGCGTGGCTCGAAAAGCTGGGCTGGGCCCCCTGCGAGCGCGACCCCTTTTTTGTATGGCTTTCCTCCCGTAGCCTGTCCCCTGGAACTGTCTGGCTTTCCTCGCGTAGCCTGTCCTCTGGAGAGGCCAGGAAAGGGAATCTTACAACAGTTACTTTTCTGACGGGGGGTGATGCCGGGCACCCGAGAGACTTTCCCATCATCGCGGCAAGTTAAGCACATATGATATCCCATTCCCCGCGGCCACGCGCGGGCGCGGTGGTGAGCTGTGACCAAGGGCGGGCTCTCGACCCTGCCCCTTGGTAGCGGGCAAGCTCGAAGCCTCAGGGCAAAATTTGGAACTTAAGCCAAAATGGCTACGGACTGCCAGGGGACGTGCCAGGGGGACGCACCGCGGGACGTGCCAAGGGGACGCGCTACGGCACGTGCCAATGGACGTGCCACGGGACCTGCCAGGAGACGCGCCGCGCGACGTGCCAGGGGGATGCGCCACGGAATGCGCCACAGAACGTGCCAGGGAACGTGCCAGGTTGCAATGCTGAGTGTATCGATATTGATGTACCGTGCCGAGGGCCGTGCTGCGCTGCGCCGTGTTGGATTGCGATGTGCCGTGTCGCGATTGTGTTCTATAGCGTTGTGGAGTCGAGTCCCCTTTTGCATCCGCGTTCTGATCGAACGGATCTGGATCTTAGCTCGGGCTGCCTGAGCATACAGTAGCTGCACCAGAGCTTCTTGACAGGGGGACATGTCAAGGGGGACGCGCCGCGGAACGTCCCAAGGGACGCACCAGGCGACGTGTCAGGGGACGTGCCATGGGGACACCGCTGGGGACAAACGTTTCGTTCGAGGCATCTTGCCCACATCCTCCTCATGATAGACATCCGCCTGGGCGACCTGGGCATGGGAAAACAAGCGGTTCGCTCGACACTCCTTCTAGACATCCGCCTGGGCGAACTGGACACGTGATAACAAGAGGTTCGCTCGAGACATCCTCATCACATCTTCATGTTAGACGTCCGCCTGGTCGACCTGATCACGTGAAAACAAGCGTTTCGCTCAGCACATCCTCTAGACATCTGCCTGGGCGACATGGACACGTGAAAACAAGTGGTTCGCTCGAGACATCCTCAACACATCTTCATGTTAGACGTCCGCCTTGGTGACCTGGACACGTGAAAACAAGCGTTTCGCATGCGACGTTTTCAACACCTCCTCATGCTAGACATCCGCCTGGGGCGACCTGGACACCTGAAAGCGAACGTCTCGCTCGAAACATCCTCATCACATCTTCATGTTAGACGTCCGCCTGGTCGGCCTGGACACGTGAAACCAAGCGTTTCGCTCAACACGTCCTCATGCTCGACATCCGCCTGGGCGACCTGGGCACGCGAAAACGAGCGTCTCGCTCGAAACATCCTCCAAAGATCTTCATGTTAGACATCCGCCTGGGTGACCTGGGCACGTGAGAACAAGCGCTTCGCTCAACACATCCTCAACACATCCTCATGCTAGACATCTGCCTGGACGACCTTGACGCGTGAAGTCAAGCGTCTCGCTCTCTCTCTCTCTCTCTCTCTCTTTCTCTCTCTCTCTCTATATATATCGAAGAGAGAGAGAGAGAGAGATCCTCAACAATTAGACATCTGCCTGGGCGACATGGGCACGTGAAAACAAGTGGTTCGCTCGAGACATCCTCAACACATCTTCATGTTAGACGTCCGCCTGGGTGACCTGGACACGTGAAAACAAGCGTTTCGCTCGCGACGTTTTCAAGTAGGCTAGACATCCGCCTGGGGCGAACTGGACAAGTGAAAACAAGAGGTTCGCTCGAGACATCCTCATCACATCTTCATGTTAGACGTCCGCCTGGTCGGCCTGGACACGTGAAACCAAGCGTTTCGCTCAACACATTCTGATCACATCCTCATGCTCAACATCCGCCTGGGCGACCTGGGCGCGCGAAAACGAACGTCTGCTCGAAACATCCTCCAAAGATCTTCATGTTAGACATCCGCCTGGGTGACCTGGGCACGTGAAACCAAGCGTTTCGCTCAACACATCCTCAACACATCCTCATGCTAGACATCTGCCTGGACGACCTGGACGCGTGAAGTCAAGCGTCTCGCTCGAGACATCCTGAACACATCCTGATGCTAGACATCTGCCTGGGCAACCTGGAGGCGTGAAACCAAGCGTCTCGCTCGAGACATCCTCAAGATCTGGGCAGGAAAACAAACATTTCACCTGAGATATCCTCTGAATTCTGGTCCCCAATTGGAGGACAGTCTACAACACAAAACAAGCGTTTCGTTAGAGACGTCCTCAAATTCTGAAAAACAAGCGTTTCGCCCGGGACATCCTCATAAGTAATGCCGCCGGCCCTCTTCGACCTCGTCAGCTATCGCAGAATCATGCCGCCGGCCCTCTTCAAGTCGAGGCCGGGGGTATAAACCTGCCAGAAGAGCACCCTGGGCCCGCGCCCCTGCCCGGAACACTGCCTCGAGGAGACGCAGCCACGGATGGAGGCGCGTGGATCACGCACGGGAGCCGCCGCCTCCCGTCTCTCCGTGCAGGGTCGGCGCGCTGCGTGTGGGGCGGCGTGGGCCTCGTGCTTCACCACCCACCAAACCACCCCAACCCAACCCGAAGGCTCCAATTTATCCTCGATTTCCAGTGGGGGGGGGTCGTGGAACATCGAGAAAACACGTATGGAACCCGTACCCCCCCCAACCCGAAATTCGGGTCTTCGGGTTGGGTTGGGGTGGTCTGGTAGGTAGTCAGTGCTCGTCGGAGGCGCCTCCTTGCCCGAGGGCTGCGCGTCAGCGCGCGCCCGCTGCGGGCGCAGACCCAGAGGTCCGTCCAGCCTCGGCCCCCCAGACTTCGAGTGCAGTCGGTCGACCGATGTCTGAGATCCAGGTCGGCTCGGGGAGGGCACCCTCGTGTTCGTCGTGCTCGTTGGATGGTCTTGTGCACCCCGGGGAGGGTACCCTTGGATGTTCTGTGTGTTTTGGCCGGCGGAGGGTCTCGTGCTCTGGAGGGATGCTCTCCTGTCCTGGGTTTGACTGCGGGGGATCGCCTGCAGAAGTGGTCTGCCCCAAGATGGAGTTACCCGCCGAATTCTGCGGCAGATGCGCAGGATGTTCCATACCTCTACGGCGCACTCTACGCCTGTGTGTTCCGATTCGACGGGCGCAGGCAGAATGCCTCGCGCACAGGCAGAATGCCCGAAGCGCCGCGAGCTGCGGGGGGGCGATCCAGCTGCGCACCCCGGCGTGCCACGGGGGGCTCTGAGCCGCGAAGGGCCAGGGCCGGGAAGGCCCCGCCTCTTGTGCCGGAGGGTGGCGCGAGCGGAGCGCAGCGGCGCGGGGAGCCGGCCCCCCGGGCCTGGCGCGCAGGAACGCTGCTGGTCAAGCTGCAGAAGGACGGTGCGCCTGGGCACGAGGGGGGGTCAGACGCTCGTTCCCGGGGCCTTCCTGGGGGCCACCTCACGGATCTGTTCGACTCTAGGTCGGCCCCAGTTCGAGTCCAGGTAGAGTCCAGTTCGACTCCAGTTCGGCTCCAATTCGGTTCAGGTTCGATTCAGGGCCGACTCAGTCCGACTCAAGTTCGACTGCGGTCGGCGGACGTTCGACGCAGCTTCGACGCACGAGTGGAGCGAGTGGCTCCAGGAAGGTTCCCAGAAGGAGCATCTGAAGGGGGCAGCCAGGGCGCACACCCGCCTGTGCTCCCGTCCGCCAGCGCCCCACCTCGCAAAGAGAATGAAGGCACCTGCCCCAGTTTTTCTAGGATGGGCAAAGGTTCCATAGCGCCAGGGCCTCGACATCGAGATCCCCGTCGAGGCTTGGAGCAGCTCAGGTAACAGAAAGAGCGAGGTACGAGTGATGACGTTGTGTTGGGCCGAAGCCCTTTCAGGGAGGGCTCCAGGGGAGGGGCGAAGCGGGGTGCAGGGTTGGTGAAGGCCGTTTTCGGGTTTCCCCCCGGGTTTTGCATGTTTTTCGGGTTCCCCCCCAAGACGGCCCAAGAGCGCTCCAAGAGAGCCCAAGACCGCCCAAGAGGCCCCCAAGAGGCCCCCAAGAGGCGCCCAAGGGGCGTCCCAAGAGGGGCCACCAGAGGCCACAATTATTGATTTCCTTCGGAAAACGTACATGCTTAGCATATACGGCTTTTCGGCTTTCACGGCGTTGACGACGGCCCAAGAGGGCCCCCAAACCCCCCCAGGACGGCCCAAGAGGCTCCCAAGAGGCCTCCAAAGCGGCCCCAGAGGGCACCCAGACGGCCCAAGAGGCGCCCAAGACGGCCCCAGAGGGCCCCAAGACGGCCCCAAGAGGGGGACCACGAACCGAAAAGTCTAGCCTTTCGCCCCAAGACGCTCCCAGGAGGCCCCAAGAGCCCCCCAAATAGTCCCAAGAGGCGTTCCACGAGGCCACAAGGAGGCCAAAATCATTGATTTCCGATGTACACCACAGGCACATTTTTAGCATACACGGCTTTTCGGCTTTCACTGCGTTGAAGACAGTCCAAGAGGCCCCAAAGACCGCCCCAAGACTGCCCCAGAGGCTCCCAAGAGGCCCCCAAAACGGCCCAAGAGGGCGCCAAGAGGCCCAAGAGGCGCCCAAGACGGCCCCAGAGGGCCCCAAGACGGCCCCAAGAGGGGGACCACGAACAGAAAAGTCTAGCCTTTCGCCCCAAGAAGCTCCCAGGAGGCCCCAAGAGCCCCCCAAGAAGCCCCAAGAGGCCCCCAAGAGGTTCCCAAGAGGCCCACAAAAGGGCTCCGAAAGGGCCCCATATAGGACACCTACGACGGCCCAGAGACGCCAAATGAAGAGCGATCGGTAACGCAAAAAGCTCTTCACACCAAGGCTCCACAGAGCGAACGGTGACGTAAACAAGCTGATAAGACCAAGGCTCCCAGCAGAGAGCGGTGACGTAACAAGTTCCTGACACTAAGGCCCAGCCAAGGCTCAGGAACGGGCGGCACCGCAACAATCTCTGAACACCAAGGCTCCCAAGAGCGAGGGGTGACGTCACAAGCTCTCAACGCCAAGGCTCCCAGTACGAATGGTGGTGTGAGTAATTTCGGTTTCTGTTTCTGAAGCGCTCTTTCCGTTTCCGTGCTGGCCCAGGTGACGGAAAGAGCAAGGTACGAGCGATGACGTTGTGTTGGGGCGAAGCCCTAGAGGAAGGGGTTCCAGGGGAGGGGCGAAGCGAGAGGACATTGGCGTTGATGGCCGTTTTGGGGGGGTTCCCCTGGGGTTTTTGCATGTTTTTTCGGATTCCCCCCCACGACGGCCCAAGAGCGCTCCAAGAGAGCCCAAGACGGCCGAAGACGGCCCAAGAGGCCCCCAAGAGGCGCCCAAGGGGCGTCCCAAGAGGGGCCCAAGAGGCCAAAATCATATATTTTCCAGAGGCAAACGTATATTTTTAGCATCTACGGCTTTTCGCCTTTCACGGCGTTGACGACGGCCCAAGAGGCCCCCAAGACCGCCCCAAACCAGCCCAAGAGGCTCCCAAGAGGCCCCCAAAACGGCCCAAGAGGGCCCCCTGACGGCCCAAGAGGCGCCCAAGACGGCACAGGAGTGCTGTCCAGCACGTGTTTTTTGATGGGTTTTCCCAAAAACACTTCCCACGGCTGCCCAAAAGATGCCCGAAGAGGCCCCAAGAGGTCCCTCCAGATGGCCGAAGAGCGCTCCAAGAGAGCCCAGGACGGCCCAAGACGGCCCAAGAGGCCCCCAAGAGGCGCCCAAGGGGCGTCCCAAGAGGGCCCGAAGGCCAAAATCATATATTTTCCAGAGACAAACGTAGATTTTTAGCATCTACGGCTTTTCGCCTTTCACGGCGTTGACGACGGCCCAAGAGGCCCCCAAGACCGCCCCAAAACGGCCCAAGAGGCTCCCAAGAGGCCCCCAAAACGGCCCAAGAGGGCCCCCAGACGGCCCAAGAGGCGCCCAAGACGGCCCCAGAGGGCCACAAGACGGCCCCAAGAGGGGGACCACAAACCGAAAAGTCTAGCCTATCGCCCCAAGACGCTCCCGGGAGGCCCCCACAGCCGCCAAAGAAGCCCCAAGAGGCCCCCACGAGGCCCTCAAGAGGCCCCCAGGAGGGCCCGAAAAGGGCCACAATAGGACTCCGACGAAGGCCCAGAGACGCCAAGAGCGATCGGTAATGCAAAAAGCTCTTCACACCAAGGCTCCCCAGAGCGAACGGTGACGTAAACAAGCTGATAAGACCAAGGCTCTCAGCAGAGAGCGGTGACGTAACAAGTTCCTGACACTAAGGCCCAACCAAGGCTCAGAAACGGGCGGCAACGCAACAATCTCTGAACACCAAGGCTCCCAAGAGCGCGGGGTGACGTAACAAGCTCTCAACGCCAAGGCTCCCAGTACGAACGGTGGTGTGAGTAATTTCGGTTTCTGTTTCTGAAGCGCTCTTTCCGTTTCCGTGCCGGCCCAGGTCTACATTTCTGGACCAGTGTTCTTCAGCACCCGGAAGGGCTGAGGTCCCGCCGAGCCTCCGCGGGCACGTCCGGGGGCACGGCCCTGGTGGCTCCTGGGCTCTCAGCCAGTATCATTTACCCGACCCTCATCCCCATCGAGCCATGGCATCTCAGCCCCACCATCCCACGTCCCCAGTTGGGGATATACCCGCCGAAGTGAACAGCCTAACTATCTCCCCAGCTTGGGGGGGGGGGGGGGAATCGGCCTGTGGGCCAAGGACATGCTGGCAGGGGGCAGGGAGCGGTGAAACGGTGCTCGCTCCGGGCCCCACCTGGGCTTCCGCCCGGCTCCGGGGCCCCGACGTGACCCGCGGAAGCCCTGGGCGGTTGGCAAGGATCTGCCGACCAGCCGTGCCTCCGGGCCTGGACCTCTGCGCGTCGTGGGCATGATCACGAGGGTCGGTGTCTCCCTGTTTGTGGCTGTCTGGGGGCCCCAGCTACCGGATCCTTGGGCTGCAAGAACGGTCCAGGCCGAAACACCGGTGCTCGGCATGGGGTCCAGCCCTTCTGTGGGTCCACGTTGCAGGGGTCTGGGTGATTGTCAACGATCCTCAAGACGTGTGTCAGTTCAACGTTTGTTTCCCCCGCTGAGTTCCACAGGTAGCACGCAGCCTGTGCCAGCCCTCATTGCACCGCCCGCGTCGTATTGAAGGGCTTCGACACATGCCGGCGCCAAGCCACGTTCTGAGGATCCTCGCGGTGGGTGGGTGCCCTCCCTGCTGCTGCAAGCCTTTCCACCAGACCGAGCCCAGGCTCTTCCAGCTTCAGTGTTGGGTGCGGTGCGCAGGGCAGTCTGCAGGCTCGGCAGGAGTACCAGAAGATTTCAGATGCTTCCCTCCCCCTCTCTCCCTGCTTGGCTTCCCCTCCCCGCCCCCCCCCGCCCGTCCGGTTGTCGGCCTGGTCTGTTCTTTCCTGTCGCCGTCCTTCCCTCTCCTCCTCCCCCATTCGCTCCTCGGCTCCTCGCTCTCCGGCCCGTCCCTATTCCGTCCCTGGCCCGCTTTTCTTGTCGGCCCGCTCTGCGGCCTGGATAAGAGCTGCGTCGGCAGGAACTGGCATCTTGTTTGATGATCGACGTTGAGGAGGAAGAGAACGACGCGCAGATTAATTATAGTGTGCGCATGGGGTTTATTACGAATGCGGCGCATTGAAGTGATGAAACAGTGCATAAATCAACGAGCAAATAACAAACCAAACCGAGACAATCAATTGCTTCTCGCAAAAAAAAAAAAAACGAGTGTGAGAGATGGCCCAGAGCTGCGCGCTCCAGGGCCGCGAAAGAAAAGAAGGTTCCCGATGTTGCGTGAGCGTCGACATCGAGGGTCTGGGGTGTCACTCTTGGAGTCGGCTGGGGGTTCGAGGTGCCCCCCCAGCACCATCTTGACGTCGGGCCTGTCCCTCTACAGGAGGAATGTTCAAACACAGTCAGAAAGCAGTCTGGGGACTATTTTTTGAAAACTGTTTCTCGACCACTTGGGAGTCTTCTTCGAATATTTCTAATGGTTCGTCCAGAATCGCCCTGGAGGGGGACACTCCGACCTGACACTGTGTAGTTCTGGGGGGTAGGGCAGGGGCCGAGAGGTTCTTGGCTCTCTGGTTCTAGAAGGTGTTTCTGCTGCCTTTGTCTGCGCCCTGGGGCCGCTTCTGGACCTCAGCACCGTCGAAGCCGGCTCCGGGATGAAAACTGGGCGCCGGCGGTAAACCGTCAACCTTTCTTACCGCCGGGGGACTCGTAGAGCTTCCTGACAATATATAATGTCGAACAAAATTGCAGAGAACGAATAGTTTTTCAGCCCAAGCGATTTCAGACCTCTCGATGCAACACCCAAACGCCCCCCGATGCTTCTGGATTGTCTTCTGTACGAGCTCTGGACCTCAGCACCGTCGAAGACGGATCCGGGATGAAAACGTGCACCAGATGGACCCCTGGAGGGG